ATAATGTGACAGCCTGATGACATGTCCTTGAGGTTGTGGCCATTTATATAAGGCAGATACTGAGAGCGGAGCTGAGAGGGCTTGCCCCTACTGGATCTGGATCGTGTGTCTTGTTCATTGATCTCCTCTTCTTTGACTTCTGATTCAAGGGTGTTCAGCAGACTGCTGACCTTGATTCATTTGCTCTGCATCCTGTGACCTTCCTGCTTTGTCATACTGCTTCCAGTTGTCATCTTTCACAGCTACATGAGCCAGAGTCTGGCCGATGTCTGACCTATGAAGTTTTTTAAACAATTTAAAGAAGTCTCTTGCAGAAGGTTTTGTCACTGCAATATATCATTTGATTTTTGACTGCTGCTTCAACAGAAATAGATTGATTAAAATAAATCGGAAAATGTGACAAATGCGATCCCTGTTGCTTTTATCCTGATATTTCTTATTGGTCTGGTGTAAAGATATTTTTTAATGTTGAAATATAATCCATGTTGAAAGCTATTGTCTTTGATCTTTATCTGCATATGGTATGTTGTTAATAAGTGTTCCTCCAATCCCTACATCACATTCTTTGTCATATAGTAAAACCTGAATAACAATGGTTAAGGAGTACACCCTGATGTACATCTCTCCTCATGTATATGGACTCCTGGAGACAGGGCTGGGGGGATCAATAAAAAGCCAGTGTCTTAAACTGATCAGACACTCCAGTTGCAGTTTGCTTCTGCGAAGATTCACAGCCTTGGAAACTATGATATGACAGGTCCATTCTATCCTACAATTTCTATAGTTGTAATCTAATTAATGACAATGAGAATTTATTTATATAAATGATTACATGTGTATTTATGCACTAACTGTAAGTCAGTAATAAGTAAAAATGAAACACACTTTAAAAAAATCTTTGAATCTCTCTTAGGTTATCTGAGAATAATTTTGCCAAATCTCAACAAACGTGTTAGTCTGGATTGATTAGAGAAACAAATTAATAGATACTCAAATGTGTATAAGAAAGAGCTTTATATACAAGAACAATTAAATATTGAGAAAACATCCCAGCCCAGTCCAGATCAAGTCCGTAAGTCCAATGTCTGATACCAATCTATAAAGTGCTCTTCAGACTCATGAAACACATGCAATGACACCAAATGCAGGAAGATCATGGGCCAGCAGGTGGAAAATCTTGTGGTTCCAGTGGCATTGTAAGCATCTCAGGTCTGGCATGGGTCTCTACATAGCTCCTCCAGCTCCATGGCTCTGGCTGCATCAGCATGGCTCTAACACGCTCATCGTCAATAATATCTTGCAGGGAGTGAGTTTATCTGGCCTCCAGTGAGCTTATTGATCTCCAAGGCACCTCCAAATGAGGTCATCAAGCTGTGACCTGATTGACAGGCTAGACTCCATCCCTTTACAATACCAGATTATGTAACTACCACAATGCATTTGTTTCAAATGACATATAAGCGGGTATCAAAAAACAAACAATACACTGGAATTGTGCTGGGTAGAGTAAAGCTTTCATATCATGAATTTTTCACACTAGGCAACTAGCAAGCAACTTGCTCTGAGGTAGTGCACTCAGTGGGGTGGCCTAGGAAGGTTCTCTCTGGTCACAGTGAATTTTTTTGTAAAAGCAGTTTCCTCAAACCTCATTTTTTGCGATGGCTGATTTAAGTGAACAGCGTGCAGCTATGCAATTTTACTTCCTGCTTAGGAAAAATGATGAAGAAACTGTTGTGCTATTGAACACAGTTTACAAGGACAGCACTATGGGAAAAACTCAAGTGTATGAGTGTTTTTCTCATTTCAAAAAAAGGTGAAATGTCAATTGATGACAAATCTCTTGTGGACATCTGTCAACTTCCTGAATAGATAAAAATGTTGACTCTTAATACATTTGGAGTTTGTTCTATCAGGTCAGCCTTTAAATCAAGCTTTCTATTTAGAGGATCTGAAAAGATTGCATAACAGCATGCTACCAATAAGGCCTAATTTGTGGCAGATGGGGGACTGGTTTTGTCACCATGACAATGCACCTGCTCAAGCAACCACCTCAATGTGCCAGTTTTTGGCAAAAACCAGCATGCCTCTCTTGCCCCATGCATCTTACTCTCCCCTGATCTTGTTCTGTACGACTTTTTGTTTCCACAAATGAAGAGGGACATGAAAGGACAGCAATTTGACAACACAGAAGAGGTGAAGAAAATGATGAGGGAGGTTCTATGTGCCATCCAAACAGATGAGTTTGAAAATTGTTTCCAAGAATGGAATCACAGGCATGACAAATGTATTAAGTGTAATGGAGAATACTTTGAAGGTGATAAGGTTGTTTTATAAAAAATTTTTTAAACACAACTTTGAAAAAAAATCCCATGTTTTGTTATCTCCTCATATATATGACCATTATTTCTTTTTGAGTTTTAACTTTTGTGTAAATTTACAAAGTAAATTGTTTCTAAATTCAACAATGCACACACATTTTGTTGTGCAACACTGAGTGCAATATCCATGATGTAATAGCACACTTCCCATTTCGTCCCTGTGCTTACCTTTCTCATATCGCCATCTTTCCTATCTCTGTGTGCCTTCTAAGCGTTATATCTAGGCACACACTAGGCATAACATTGGTGATTCTTTATTGTTCACAATAAAGGCCTATTATTGTTTGAAAGCTAAACCACAAGTGTAATTTTGGTTTTAAGCTCGAAGGATATCTAAGGACATTGTCTTAGGGGTTCCATTATACTCTATCAACCAGTAATCCTCATCTTTGTTTTATGATCTTGACTTTGGTTTCACACTTTACTCCCACTCTACTCAGGACATTCACTGTGATGTCTTTATGAGCACTCAACAGTGGTAGCTGGGCACTGTCTAGTTCTTCTGGCTTCAGGGTAATGGAAATTGGGTGCTGTGGCCATTAGTTTTTTGGATCAATTTTTCCATGCACCTTTGATTTTCTTTACTCATTTTTGCTCTCAAATGGGAGGAATCAATAGTTGTTAACTTTCAGTTTCTACTCACCACATAGGATATAGGCATTATCTTTATAGATTACATTGTGCCAATTTAGGTTAGTGTCCTGTAAGACTATGGTCCTAAGCTCTGAGACGCCACGGCTCATTTTCTCAAGCTCATTGGTTATGGCTAAGAAGTTTTCTTAATTTTCCCTCTGTATGCTATAGTGTGAGAAAGACAGGGTTTTCTAATGCCGCAAAGAGTTATAGTCTCAGAAACTCACAAGAACACCCCTACTGTGTCCATACAGTAGCTATGAGTCCGCATCGACCCATTGGCAATGAGTATGGTGTTTTGGGTGTGATATATTAAATGTTCATGGACACATTTACCAAACTCCAGAATTCAATCTCACTGCTGTTAGTCAATTCTGACTCCTAGCCACCCTATATAACATATAAACACATATGTGAAAATATCCTCAATCAACCTGATATGTATTCTGGGGTGTAGTCCTATTTGTCTTTCCACTCATGCTCAGCTGTAGTATCTATGGAAACACTCCTAGGTTATTGCTATTATTTTTATTCCAGCATTATGTGTAATAGGATTTATTTTTAATGCCTAAACTCTTCTGTTCTTCATAGTGCCTTCCTTTGGATCATTTTGTGTAAATTTACCCCTTATTATATATTGTATATGGTCATTCTCTTCATCCAAATCATTACATGACAACAATCTATATAGCTATTTATCATCCCGTCTGCTGCAGAATTGGTAACCATCAAAGTTGATTCATTCTACGTGCAAACCTTTTCTCCACTTTTAAAATTCATGGTCCCATATAATCTGTGTACTTTTGTGATAGTCATATTTCACTCACCAAAATATCTTAAAAGTTCACCCATGTCCTAAGGTGTTTGAAAGATTCATTACTATTCATTAATATAAGTAGTATTCCATTACTATTCAAGTATATGTACTTTGGTTGGTGTATTCCCTCATATATTAATGGACTCTTAAGTTGTTTCTATCATTTTACTATTATGAGCAATACTGTGAAGATTATGATTGTGCATACATCTGTGTGAACTGGGATTGTTATTTTGTTAGGTACACGCACCTAGTAGTGAGATTCCTGGATCACAAAGTCTTCTGTTTCCAACTTTTTAAACACTCACCATATCATTTTGCATAGTGGTTGCAATGTTTTACATTTTGGCCAGCAGTGTATTGGCCATCATTCTCTCCACACACTCACTAACATTTGTTTTTTCTATTTATTTGAACTTTGCTACATGCTAGGATATGCAGATATGCCATTGTTGTTTGGATTTGCATCTCTCTAATGGCTCATTGGTATAAGCATTTCTTCCTGTTAGTTGCCTGAAAGTCTTCTCTTAGTGAAGTGTCTGTTCATGTCCTCTGCTCACTTATGAATTGAATTGTTTGCCTTGTTAGATGTGAATTTTAAGATTTTGTGTCATGTTATATATATCATTGCCAAAATATTGTTTCCATTATGTTTATTCTCTTTCTACTAACATGTTTTGAAGCAAATATCTACCTAATTTTAGGTTAGTCTTCAGCTGAACTTGTCCTTATGTGTTTTTAATGATCTTTATAGTTTTACATTTTGCTTTTAGGTATTTGATCCACATTGCTATATATATATAGTACTCTGACAGTGTTTCAGTGTTTGATCTAAATCTCATGTATATATAGCCATCGATTTTTGAATTGTTAACCACAGTTTTAGAATTGAAGTTTCTGCTGATGCTTTAATTTTAACATTGTTTAAATCTCCTTTTTGCTTAATAAATCTAAAAATGAATATTATATTAAGGTAATAAAGCAGACATAATATCTTTCAATAGTTTGGTTACTAAAAGTAAGTTAAATGGCTTTAAAAAAACTTCATATATTTTGTTGCTGAAATTTAGTGCAGTCTAATCTTTGTTGGATTAATATTGATTTTATGTTTCTTTTTCCTGGGGGCTATCTACATAGCAATAAAGCCCTCAGAAGAATTATCTATTACTCACCTCCGAGCTTCTGTACCCCTTGCTGCTTCCGCATATTGCTGAGCTCTGTCTGGCAAGGTGGATCTGCGATGGCATTAAAAATGTTAATTCAAGGATTATAGCAAAAGAAAGATGTTATGATTTCTACATTATCAAAGATTTTAAGGCTTAGGATACACTTGTTAGTTGGTGAACTTATAAAAATACATATCTAGGTATGTACAATGCTTGTGTGTGAATACACACACACACACATTTTACACACATGCAAGGTGGCTACAATAAATAATGGAAAATGATTTGATATATGAAATATTTCCGTAAACTTTTGTATATATCTATGAGACTCTCCTGCTTTTAATTAATATTAGAGCATTTGATTATTTTTAGAATGTTTTGACTGGCTGAATAAAATATTAACTGTATAAATACTTATATGATGCAAGTTACTTCCTATATAATTAAAGAAATATCAACTCATCCACATAAATTCTACTAATTAACTTGTACAAAAACAATTAATTAGCTCTTTTCCTCCTGCTTTACAATTCTGTACAGAATATAGAGAAGTAGCTTTGTTATGAGGGCTAGTATAAAAGTATTGCTACAAAATAACAGAAATATTTATTCATGTGAGCAAAAATACTTATTAATGTGAAAAAAACTTCACATATCTTTATGCTTTTGAATATGGTACTTCCATCTCTCAAACCCTCAGCAAAGAATTCTGTGCTCTTCAATTTACACCATACAAATAGCAGTTTTAGTATAAATGACAGACAAAATAGTCTTTGAAATTCAGGTACAAAAATAAATTTGAAGGAGCAAGATCAAGGCTGGAGAATGGATGCCCTTATTTCTTATTTTATGTATTCTTACCTGAAAATAATGCAGTGTATTTTATATTCCTAAACTCTTGAAGTTAATGCTAACTCTATAAAATTTCATTAAACTATTGAAACAATAAAACAAACTATTATCTTGTACTACATTTTGCTAAGGAGAAGAAAAGCATTGCCCAGCTGATACAAATTTTAAATCACTTTTCCGTGGTATAATATTGATTTACTAAAATAGAAAATGAAATGAAGGAAAAGAATAAGGTGATTACTATCTATTAGATCACTTAATATTTTAGGTTAAATGTATTCTTCCTAGGGACTCTAAATCTGAAGATAAAGTAATTTTATTGTAAATCTTGAATAAATTATTTTATTTTTTCACTTCATTTCAAAATGTGTCCAATTTTCAATTTGCTTGACAATCTTGAGTCTCTCGTACTAAGTATTAATTATTTTAGGAACAGTTATCAAACTGATTAGTACACTTTTACACAAATCAACATTTTAAATTTCTGGTCCTATAAGTATGATGTCTCAGAAAAAGAACTAGCAGTCTAGTTGAAGTTTGCCTATTATATTGAAATCAGTTTCTAAACCAAAAATCTTGTGTGTGTGTGTGTGTGTGTGTGTGCACTTTACCAAATAGATTCTTTGAAACTTCAAGTGCATTTGATTCTAAGTCCTGATTTTTAACCTTACAAAACCATCCTGATTTTCAAAGTTGTCTGTCAGAACTATATGACAGGTTGAGAGGAACATGTCAGGCTTACAAGAGAAACCTTGAGAGATTGGGCTTCTCAAATACAGGTAATATTTGACCTTATAACATTTCCTCCTATTATTTACATATGAAACAGCTCATAATTCTACATATAACTAGAGAAGTTTAATTAACAGCTCATAATTCTACATATAACTAGAGAAGTTCAATATAATTTATTTGTCAATTAAACCCACTTGAAAGAGTTAATTCTAGACCAAAGGTTAGCAACCTAACCAATTATATGAACGTTCAAACATAACCAGACAATGTGCTTACAGTGCAGCACATAGGTTCTCACACTTATTTAGTCTACCCCTCCCTTTTCAAGAAATAATTCAGCACCCCCCTCCAAAAGCAAGTAAACTTTTCTACTATAGTCCATAATCAAAGATAAAATATAGCTCTCTCCTTTTACAGCTTCCTTGGATTTGTGCAGCTCTTTCCAGTTCACCATTTCTTCCACTTGCTTCAGCTACCCTACATTCAAAAGCAAGTTTCAGCGTCTCCTCTGACATCATTTAATCTTTTCGTTCTTCTCTGTTTTCCCCCCCAATAATCTTTAGCTTTCTTCTTGAATGATGTTCTTGATTTCATCCCACAGTTTTCCTGCTCTTCAGTCATTAGTATTTAGTATATAAAATATATTCCTGAAATGGTCTCTAAATTCAGGTGAAATATACACAAGGTTGTATTTGGACTCACGTGGATTTGTTTCAATTTTCTTCAACTTGAATGCTCAAATGAGCAATTGATCGTGTGCACCTCAATCAAGTCTTGGCCTCATTCTTACCGATTATAATGTATTCTCCGTGATCTCTTTCTATAAATGTTGTCAGTGTGATTCAATGATGTTCCATCCAACTAGGTCCATGTATGTAGCTAGATGTCTATGTTGTTAAAAGGTATTTGCAATGGATAAGTTATTAATCTTGCAAAATTATATCATATGCTCTATAGCATCATTTATATCAACATACTATATTTTTCCACAATTGATCTTATACTTCAGGAGAGATCTTTAAATGTTCTGTTTCATGCTGAATGCAACAATATTCCTCTTCAATTCATTTTCTTAGCACAGTAGGTCAAATGGTTATCCAATTCAAAGTGGTGAAAAACAGTCCATTTTCAGGTCACAAAATCCTAGGATATTATTTTGATGTATTTCATTTAATTTGTGATTAATTCAAAATTTGCTAGCTTTATACTTTGTGTATTCCATGTTCTGATTATTGATGAATGTTCATAGCTGTTTCTTCTCGATTTAAGTTATGTCAAGTGAGTAAACAAAGATCTTACAGCTTTACTTCACCATTGATAAACTTGATTTTAATATAAGGAAGTATCTTTTCTGAAATTGTAATTTTACTGCCTTCTAATGTGAGGGACTGATATACCAGCACTATAATATAAGGGAGTACCCCCAAAAAGAATGGAAAATTTCCCCCAAAGGCATGTATTTAATTTGTTTTACAAGCCAACCTTATTACCTTCAAAGTACTCTCCACTACACTTAATACATTTCTCAAATCTGCGATTCCATTCTTGGAAACAGTTTTCAAGATCTGTTTGGATGCCTGACAGCATTTCCCTCCTTTTTTCTTCACCTCTTCTATTTCATCAAATTACTGACTTTTAATGTCCTTTGTCATTTGTGGATAAATAAAAAGTCTCACAGAACCAGGTCAGGTGAGTAAGGTGCATGGGGTGAGAGGCATGTTGTTTTTTTTTGCTAAAAACTGGTGTACTGAGATGGCTGCATGAGCAGGTGCATTGTCATGGTGGCAAAACCAGTTTCTAGTCTGCCACAAGTCAGGCCTTTTTTGTTGTACACTGTTACGCAATCTTTTCAGAATCTCTAAATAGAAAGCTTGAATAAGTCTGACGTGGTGGTATGAACTCCAATTGTACTATCCCCATCGCATCAAAAAAACAAATGAGCATCATCTTGATCTTTAATTTCACTTGATGAGCATTTGGGGGGCGAAGTGACAATGGCATCTTCCACTGACTTGATTGATGTTTGATTTGGGGGTCATCAGAAAAGCACATGTCTCCTCACCGGTAACGGCGTTGGAAAAAAGTCTGGGTCACTTAGGAGCTGTTCTTTCAAAGCCAGGCATGTTTCCACTCAAAGCTCTTTTTCCTAATCAGTCAGAACCCGAGGCACAAGGTTCTCAGCGACCCGTCTCATTCCCAAATCTTCTATTAAAATTCGCTGAACTGAACTCAAGATAGTCCAGATAACTTCCACATATCTTTAAAGGTCCATTGTAGGTCTTTGAGCACAAGTCCACAAATTTTGTCTACATTTTCATCCATTCGGGAAGCTGATGGAAATCTGGAGCTAGGTTTGTCATCAATCAACATTTGACCATTGTTGAAAGGAGAAAACCACTGGTACTCTTGTTTTTCCCACAGTGCTGTCCTTGTAAGCTGTGTTCAATGTCACAGGAGTTTCTACAGCATTTTCCCCAAGCAGCAAACAAAATTTCACAGCCACATCCTTTCCTCTTAAATGAGCCACCACAAGAAACGAGGTTCGAGTAACTGAAGACCCTTCCTAGGCGATGCCACTGGGTGCAATAGCTGAGAGTTGCTGGGTGCTTGCCTAGTGGAAAAAATGCGTACTATGAAAGCTCTGTCCAGCAGAGCTTTTTTCTGTTTTGGAGGGAGGCACCCCCTTATGGAAGACAATGTTTTCCCTGGCCAGTTGTTTTAGAGGTCTATCACCATGCTTCTTCATAGTTGGTTTTGTCTACTGCTGTCAGTCTACCACCATGATTTTGCTGACATTTGAACGAATAATGGCATAGCTTCCAGCATCATGGGAACCCACAAGCCGCCACAGTACAAAAATACTGACAAATGAATGTTTGTGACTTGCAAAGCTTATATGGAAATGTAAAGCCAATTGTGCGTGTGTATGCATCCTGAGTATGACTTAAAATATTTTGATCAGATAACTGTATTTATGAGTTTCTTTTTAAATTTTTATGAACTGTTAAACTAGTATGCAATCTTTATTAAGCTATTATCAATAGTGATACTGTAGGTGGGGTATTGAGCTCAGAAATACTGTATTGTCTTGCTCTAAGAAGGCGTTGACTCAATGGCAAAGATTTTAAAATTTGTTTAGTTTTATTTGTGATTTAATATAACTTTTAATTTTTAATACATGAAAAAATTAATTCAGATGGAAAAATAATTTGTATAATGTATTTGTCTTAATATGAAAAATTTAGAATCATTAGTATACTCTAGTTTATTTTCTAAGTTGTTAAGATATTTTAAATAGAGTTACAATAGCACCATTAACCAATTCCCATTTTTAAATAATAGCACCATAATCACCTATATATAGACATTTATAAAATATGCTATGTAATTTTCTCATTTTTCTAAATATATATCATGAGCTGAATTATATATATATATATTCTTATTTTTGATTATATAAATTCATTACATAGCATTATTAATTTTATAATCATTTTATATTTTCTTATATAGAGGGATGCATGAGATACTAGCATTCATCCAACTTGTTGTTTTACTTCACATCTTCGAAATTCTTGACACTTTCCTAGCTAGCTAATTTTTAATTGCTATTTCACAGAGTCTGAAAAACGAAATCATTTTAAAATTAAATGAGTAAAAATAATGATATGGTGAATGTTGTGGTTGATTTAGTAAGATCCCAAAAGGCCACCTTAACAGTCCACAGTATAGAGATAAAAAACATTTATTTTACACCATATGCAAAAAAGATAGCAAATTAATTTTAATGATTACTTTTACTATCTATGTTCTAATATCTCATGCTTTTTGGCTGTTTATAATGGAAACTATAATGAACTATATTAATGTAAAATATTAATTACTTTTCCCCTCTTATTTAGCATGTTTTGAATCTCTAGTAAAGCCATCTGGTTCAGCATGCTGTTTATTTGTTCCTTTATTAAGCATTCAAATTAGAAAAGCATTTACCATTATGAAGAAATATATAAGTTCGGCATGCTTGTCAACTATCTGAATCATTTACCTTGCTGTCTCTGGAAACAGTAGCACCATTCATTGTTAGATATCAAGCTATCTTTGTAAGTGTCACAAGAATTGAAGAATGCTTTGGTACAATGTTCATTCTTATCAAGGAAAATGCTTCCCAGCTCTGACTGGTCCAGTAGCAGGTCATAGTTTGTATCAAGCCTGTTAAACATCCACCCAAGTGAATCTTTGCAAATTGGTAAAATACTAGTATCAAATCCTAAAAAACAAATACAGAACATTATTAGGTCAATCTGAAAGATGCCATCAGCAGTAAGAAAAATAAAGCAATACCTTAAATCAGCGGTTCTCTACCTGTGAGTTGCAACCCCTTTGGGGGTTGAATGACCCTTTCACAGGGTTTGCCCGATTCATTACATTATCAAAATTATAGTTATGAAGAAGCAACGAAAATAATTTTATGGTTGTGGGTCACCACAACATGAGGAACGGTATTAAAGGGTTGCAGCATGAGGAAGGTTGAGAACGACTGCATTAAATGGTTAATGAAGGGAATCAAGTCAAACAAGAGTCAACTATGCAGGGCTTAAAATTCATCTTGGATAAGCTGGTTTCTAGTAAAGTAGAGATAGTAATAACTCCCTCACAGGATAGTTTCAAGGATTAATTAAATAACAGATAAAACATGTTACTTAGAAATAATCTTAAATGGCAATTACTAGTATATTATATATTATTTACAAAAGTTATTACATCATATATTGTCCTCTGTTAACATTTTTATTTTTCAAGCTTCTTCTGAGTAAAAGGTTATCATAATAGGTGCTGTCATAAACCCATTGCCACTGAGTAAATTTTGACTATGGAGCCCGTGCAGGACAGAGGAGAACTGCCCCTCAAGGTTTCCAAGGCTGTAAGAATTCCACATCTTTCTCTCCTTGAGTAGTTGGTGGATTCAAACCACCACTTTTCAGTTGTCAGCTAAGCTTTTAACCATGGCTCTATCCTTCTTTGTTGTATTATATGCACATACATACTATACAATATGTATAACCTACTAACAAGAGTACATTAATTTTTCAAGGCAATTAAAATTCCTTTATATATAAATGTAACTGATGCATAATAAATAATAATTCAGGGAATTCAATAATTCTCTGAATAATGATAGGACCACATTGGTAGTGATATTTCACATAAACAGAGAAAGTAAAGCTATGATGTAATTTATATAGTTACTCTGCTTTTGTTTTATTAAGACAACATTTTTACAATTAACAACCTAAGTATTATTTAAATGAGCCTACAATTGAAATAATATAAAAAGAATATTGGTGCAGAGAGAGGAAAGTGAAATGATAAAATAAGAAATCCCAGATTGAGTGACATGCCAGCCTCTGTTCCTTGCAATTAACTGAGAGTTTAGCAACACAGGCTAAATAAATATTTCCATATATACTTCAAAGAAAATGAACCACCTAGTGTAGAAAGTTTTCAAGCACATCAAGAAATAAATTAGAATTAAAAGAAACAATAGAAACTAAAAACGATAAAAGCAACCTGAGCTATTTGAATTGGAAGATATAGCTATATTTGTTAAGGATTGTAAAAAATAGCTCTTATATAGGAAGAGACCTCCTAACTAAGATGTGGATGGTTTGAACCACCAACTCATCAGCACACAAAGGTATGGTAGTCTATCGCTATAACGAGGTACAGCTTTAGCCCTTTAATATTGATATTCTTCAGGTTTATTTCTTAACATTTCCCCCTCTACTGACTACTTACAAACTCTCTAGAGGTATTCACACTTCTATTGCTTGAAGTCACTCATTTACCTAGCATCAGTTATAGTATATAATCTAAATCTCTAGCCACATGCCTCTTATTAGTTTAATATATTTTAGTTTTATTTCATTTAGATGTGTATATTATTTAGAAATCGCCAATCTATAGGAGTCTATGTATATATATGTATACATGAATATATACATAATATATACACATAAATATTTAGATGGGTGTGTGTTTCTGTGTTTATCTATATATACACAGAAAACAATCACTTCACTAGTAAATTTTTTCCCCTATTCTTGTATAGAAACTCAGAAGGTTCCAGGAATTATTTATCTAAGCTTTACCATTATGTAGCAAAGATTTTTCAGACTAATTTAGAATTTTAAAATGTTCAGTCTCATATATGATAAAACTTTTGAAAGTCAAAATGAATGTAATGCAGGAACATACCATAGAAGGAACGTTTCACTAAAATGAACCTAAGTGGTAAAAGTGCACCTTGTTAAAGGTGAAAAATTTACTAAAGTTTGAACAATAAGGCAGTGCCATTGAGTTCTGGCTCTCGTACATATCATTGTAATGAACACAACTTCTAGCTTGGGCTTGGCTGGGACTTTGCCATGGAAAGCCCAGAAAGGGAAGAATGACGGTTCTTCAATCCTTCCCCATGCTACTTACGATCATCTCCACACTTTGTCGTGATTACCTTTTGTTTTGGAGGGGGTGGCGAAAGATATATAAGAAAATACAGAGACCTTCTTACCAAATTGATAACTATATTAGGAATCTTTGGGCTAATGGGAATATCAGGTTTTTAAAGTTTCATTTATACTGTTTCTCCCTAGCATGCCTTTCTGCAGTCCTTCAGGGGCCCAGAGTGTAAGCATGTCTGTCCTTCTGATGCTCTGTGATAGTTTCCTCTGTTCCACTTAATTCCAGTATGTCTACCTGGTTGTTGTTTTTTTCTTCTTATTTTACTTTACAAGTCTGATCATTGTTCCAAATCTATATCTTGAGCATTGTTTACCTTGAGTTTCCACCTGAAGGACTAAATCTAGTCCATAGTGCATATTATCATTGTTTTACTGCCAAGGCACACTAGTTCAAAGTTACAGCAACTGTCCATTGCTTTGTCATCTTTTTTTTAATGAAACAAACAGCCCTGTCTCTTAAACTTGTGTCACTTTGGGATTAAACCTCTCAACCTTCTTTAATGATTTTCTTGGGGAAATAGTATCCACCGTGTAGGATTCTTTGGGGATTGCACACAGATTGAGGGAAAGAGGGAAAAGGGGTCAATGAATGGCATCCTAGCATAGAGGGAGGTGAAGGGAAGAAAACATGCATTTCTTTTAACAAGAGCCTTCAAACAGGAAGGAATTTCCATAAGAAGGAAGACAGTAAAAGGTCTGGGAAATTGGGGGCAGAGAGCCCCTGCAAAGGACTGAATTAACTTTTAGGTTCTGGCAAGAGGACAAGGACACAGCAGAAACTTTGGTTCTGCAGACAACATTTATAAAGGAGAGTATACTATGAAGAGCTAGAAAATAGCTGTAGGTCTGCCACAGCTGTATTAGAAACAAAACAAAACTTGTGTCTCCATCCAGAGGCATGGTCTCCTACTAGATTAGGTGCCCTTCTGTAAGACCCATGCTGGATGTAACCATTATATGAGCCCATTCTTCATTGAGGAACCCTGGAAGAGTAGTGGTTATATGTTGAGCTGCTAACTGCAAGGTTGGCAGTTGGAAACCACTCATGTAGGTGGTCGTCTATGAGAGAGAAAGACGAGGCTTTCTACTCCAGTAAATAGTTACAGTATCAGAAACCCATACGGGAAGTTTTACCTTGTCCTTATAGAGTTGAAGTGAGTTGGAAATGACCTGATGAAATTGAGTTTAGGAGACTAATTACTTTTTTGTGAGCATGACAACAATCAAAAAGAGAAGGAATTTAAAGCTGCTGTGGTAGTTATATAATCGTTTGTCGATTTGAGGATTAAGAGTGTATGGATGGAGTCTAGTCTGTCAATCAGATCATAGCCATTGAGGCCTCTGTGTGGGCATGGCTTTCTCCTGAGGATTCTGGGAAACGTGTTCTTTTCCTCTTTGGAGGCAGGAGAGACTCTCTGCTCACTTCCTTGGAGACACTATGCTGATAGACCCCATGCTCTGGGAGCTGGAGAAGCCATGGAGAGACCCCTGCCAGCGTTGAGATGCTTCCAATGCCACTGGACCCAAAGACTTTCTACCCACTGGGCTGTGATTGTCCTGCATTCAGCATCATTGCATATGTTTCCTGAGTCTGAAGAGGACTTTATAGATTGGTATCAGACATATGGGCTAGTCTACCCAGACTAACAGAGCCTCCAACCTTTTAATTACTCACATGACAGTTTTTAATGACTTAAATCTTTGAGACTTTTACTGGGTTACAACCTACATTTACAAACCATAAACAGATAAGAAGTCTTAAGATGGCATTTTGAAAAATTATTTTCAATTCCACTTGCACTGATAGCTGAGTAAGATCATTCCAGACTGACACTCTTGCATACATTCTTAAATTCTAGATGTAATTCTTAAAATGCTGCTTTCTGAAGGAAATGAAGGGTGAATCGAAGTAGGCAGATTGTGCTGGGTGTCTACATTTCGAAGATAGCATTTTTATTTTCACAGTTTTTAGCTGGAGGGCAAGCGAGGTTGACATGACATGAGGAAGTGAAGGCAGTACTAGAAAAGGGGGGAAATGAGGAATTCATTCTGGAGAATCCAAAGATTTTGTATAGTTTTAGAATAAATAGAATAAATCCAACGAGATAAAGAAACAGAGAAGATGTCCTCAGTACTGCCAGACTAAGAATCTGGATGACCCATGTTGTTGTTAAGTGTCATCACATTTGTGCTAACACACAGCGTCACCAGGAACAACAGAACAAAACAATGCCCTCTCTTTCACTACCCTCAGTATTGTTAGTAAGAATCCATTGTTACAGCCACTGATGCAATCCAGCTACTAGAACAGTAACTGGGGTTTTGTTGTTGTTTTTATTGCTGCCTTAACAAGTATAGTGTCATTTTTCAAGGAATGGTTTCTCCTAACATATTCAACCTATCTAGGAGTAAAGCTTATCATCTGTGATTCTAAGGAGATTCTGGCTGCATTTATTCCAAGACAGATTTGCTTGCACGTCTGGCAGCCCATAATACTTTCTGTATTCTCTGCCAACATCCTAATTCAAATGCAATGTTTCCTCTTCAGTCTTCTTTATTGAATGTCCAGTTTCCCCATGCATATGAGGCTAGTAAACATATAGCTTGGGCCAGTGGCACCATAGTTCTGAAATGACACCTTTGCTTGTGAACGCCATAAAGAGGTCTTGTGAAGCAGACGTGCCCAATGCAATGCAACCTTTGATCTCTTGATTGCATCTTGTTGTGGATTCAAGTAAATAAAATTTTT